CAAGAATTCTCAGGAGTACCCCCCAGGGGACTTCATAAACCAAAAATCTCACACAATGGGAGTAAAACTGTCCAAAAGCTTTCATACTAGTTGTGTCAGGCAGTAGTCTTATACCTGCCAACTCTCACGCCTTAGGCGTGAGTCTCACGCTTGCGGCTTGAAAACTTCGATCTCACACCGGCTCACGCTTGCGGGCCAATTTCTCATGCCTGATTGAAAAATGTGAGTTGTTGCCATCTTGCTTGACACAATTTCCAAAAATATGTTAACTCAGACCCATGTAAGAAACGAAAACCATGACAATACCTTCCTCGCGCTCTCTGATTTTTGAAGTGAAAAGCACTGGGAGCGAGCTCACGTTTATACGCGTCCTAAGACTGAGACTGGAATAACTTCGATTACTTCGCCTTTGGCAGACTTCGGACATCTTCGGAAGACTTCGGACTTCTTCGGAAGACTTCGGAATTGTTCGGGAATCTTTGGAAATTTATCGTGTCGTCTTCAAAAATCCCAGCACTGCCAGACAAAAATCTCACGCTTATATCTCAGAAAAAGTTGGCAGGTATATAGTCTGTTCCAGGCGCTCAGATAGTAGAGCATGGCGGTCAGTTGGGAGCAAGTTAAATTGTACACCGGCAAAACGGGATGGGGGGGATGAGGTTCCCTCCCCCTTTCCCACGCTCTACTATCTGAACGTCTGGAACAAGCTAGTCAGGAAGGAGCATTCAAACAAATGAAAAACCAAACTCCGGGCTCAGGTTGCCATAGTCCTTTTTCAAAAATACACCTGGGGTATTTAACAATTATTCCTCGAGCCCAAATGGGCTCTGAGTCAATAGCCCATGAGGCCGAAGTCCGAATGGGCTACTGACTCAGAGGCCATGAGGGCAAGAGGAATAATTGTTTTAGAAAAATCCAACTAGTTGGTCAAAAATATCAAGAATAAAGAAATTTAGCTAGTTAAAGCTAGACTTTAATCCTTTTTTGCCGCCAAAAAGCCCATGCTTTTCCCTACTTGGGGGCTATGAAAAATAGCCTAGTAGTAGCTCAACCAATCAGAATGCAGCATTGGTAATAGACCACTAGTTGGATATTTTTACTAAACAGGGATATACGGAAAGTCTCCACCCAAACCGTTACCGATTTATATAACATTTTTGACTGAAAAGGTGCCATTTTCATAAACCTTCAATTAACAAATGGTACCAGTTTCATAGTTTAGAACATTACATCCCTTTTAAATGCTGTGAATTCACTCTTAAATAAATCACTAAACCAGAATAGCAATCCCACCAGTTATGCATGCTAATTCAGCAGATGAAAACAGGGACACTACTCTGAAAATATTTCAGAGTGTATGGGTGGGATGTGCAGCTGTCAGGAAAGACTAAAAAGGTAATAGTGGCTTTAACCCTTTAAGTCCCAAGAGTGACCAAAGTCAATTTTCTCCCAACAATATCGATACATAATCAAAAGAAAACGTTGTGAGAGTTAATAAAACCATCACCTGATGGGAACAGCTTTGATCTACAAACAAATTCTTTCAACTTATTCTTTAAGGAAATATATGGAGATCAGTCTGAAGTATTTGTATTTGGATATTGGGGCTTAAAGGGTTAAGAGAAAAAAGTGCCAAATAAAGAAAGACCAAATTAATAATCACACAAGACAATATGTAATTTTTTTTATTCTTTCAATTTTGAACAGTATACAATGAAGCAAACAAGCAATAACTAGGCCACTTATTAGAGGCTTTAGCAAAACCTGATCAGACCAGATGGGATCAACCCCTGTATTTCATTAAATGACAAAAGGTTAAGGATAGTGTTTCAGGGGTTAATCTGATCTGGTCCAATCCAGATATTGTCAATGGCTAATAATTATTAGCTATGTGTTTTAAGTAACTGAATAACTTTTTGAATATCAATAAAATTCACTGAGTTATTCAACTCATTTTTTGTCTTCAGAGCAAAATCAAAGACCTTCCTAGACAATATTTCAGTACAACAAAGATGAATCTACATTAATGTATATTTTACAGTTAACATAGGAATTAATGAAAGAACTGGTAAAAACTAACAACATTTCCTCACGGCTAAGCCTTTAAAAAATAACAATCCTAATTGTTATTCAAGGAAACATTTCATGTAAACATCCATCGAAAGTCTTAAAGTCACTGTTGTTTTGGTGCTCTGGAAATGTTGCTTTATCAAGCAGTTGGGTCAGCTCTTGCAACAGCTTACAGTCAGGAGGGAAAGTCTAATTATAGTAAAGCTCCAAGTTCATCCCATCATGAATTTCATCTGGGATAGTTATGATCAAGGAATAAATAAGGCGAACACCAACACAGGTGACTAAACTACACGTAAATTACCATAACAAGATTGCTAGAACTGCAAAATTATTAATCAGTTATGTATTTTATGTAAAGTAATTTGTAACTTGCAAATGTAGATAAGTCATCTTTTTCTGCAACTCCAAGCATTACATCCATCTCAAAGTTTTGTCTTTCAACCCTTTAAGATGGATTATTTTAAATACTGAAGAAGTGCAAGCAGAAAAGCCATAAATGATATCAATAACATGCCTCAAATAATTCTGTTGTCTTACAAGATAACACAGGACAATTAGAAAGGACGATCTAGAAGCCTGTCAGAAATCACGTTTTTTCAAAAACTCATAAATTAAGGTAGAGTGAAATGATTTTTAAAACCTTGAAAGACCCTATCCCTGGAAAAGACACTCAGCTCTAACATTTCAGCTGATTACCAAGTGGGCCATCAGACATCAATCTCTTCATTAAATCCTACTTGACACACTCAACCATTACAGTCCCAAGAGTGGCCAACATCAATTTTCTCTTAACAACATAAACATGATCACCTAATTGAAAACGCTTGATCTTTAACCAAATTGTCCAAACTAATCTTAAAAGAGAGGTATAGAGATCAGACTAGAGAATTTGAACATGGACCTTGAAGCTTAAAGGGTTAATAGTAACCACAGTGGCGGATCCAGGGGTGGGGCGTGGGGGGTCCCCCCCTTATTTTTAGACCAAAAGGAGGCCATGAAGGGCAGAAAAAAATTTTTTGGAGACCAGGCTCCCCCTTAAATCTCAGAGTCTAGATGACTGCCCCCCCC